CTCTCTTCTCCTTTTTGTTACCCCCCCCCCCCCCCCTCCTTCCTTTTAGGTAGGCCTGTTCAATGGTAGTTCAATGGTTTAGCCTTAATGGTGTAGTATATAGCCTTGTAGCAACAGTTGGGGAAGGTCCATCATGTGTCCCTGTACATAAAGTCGAGTCTATAAAGCCATAGTTTGGTGTGAAGGAACTCGAGTGGCCTGCACAAAGCCTTTACTCTATGGAATTGCCTTGCAATGAATTGGAACGACAGTTGTAAGCCAGGTCTTTTCATTCATCAACAGTACCCAACTTCACAAATGCTTTTGGCTGAATGTGCACAAATTCTCAGACACTCATCCTGTCTGCGTCCGGGTACAGACACCCGAACCCACAGATGTGCAGCTCGGGTGAGCGTATGGCCGCGTCCTCCCATAGGGAAGAACAGGCTGAGGCGTACAATCACACGCAGCACCTGTCCTTCCCGGGGAACGGCCCGATACGGCCCCACTCTACGCTGCATGAATGAGGCCTAATAGTCCATAGAGTATGCTAGAGGTGGTGCAATGGCACATAATTAGCTGAGTTGGTGCTTCTGCAGATTAACATCCTATGATGCAGTCATTTGGTGTGGTAGGAGTAGGCAAATCACTAGAGTGCGTGCATTACACATCTTTTGGCTGGTAAACATTTGCCGTGTAAGTATTTTAAATGTTAAATACTTAGCTGTTTGAATTACCTGCCAAAGGACTTGTAATTCTGTTCAGCCCATCTTGTGATTGGCACATCCCAGATACAGGTGGCACACTTCTTTTGTTGAATATTGCATCTTCCTTTGTCACCTTTCTGACCTCAGCCTGCTCATTACACAAGGTATTACAAGCATAGCATTTGTCCAGTAAACTGGCAGGTAATTCTGGAAGCACTAAACCTGAATCAGGTAGCAGAGCTATCTTTCTGGCCATGCAGTGTGGTAGAGGATCACACAATTGGCTGAATAGAATTAAAAATACATTGGCAGGTAAAATGGCTAAAGTATACAGTATGTCTTTAGCTGGTTGGCTGGAGCTCCACTTGTCAGGAATGGGGGAACTGGCCTGCTGCTGAGTGTTCTCAACTATGAATTTCATTGTCCTTTTATTTCTGCTTAAAGCGGATCTTCGGTCCAATGCCAACACTATGTTCTTTCTGTTTCAGGATTGGCCGTGATGCACTCACAATCCACCAATCAGCTTGACGTTGGAAATAACCCCCGGGTGGGGACAAAACGATACATGGCTCCAGAAGTTTTAGATGAGACAATCCAGGTGGACTGCTTTGACTCTTACAAGAGGGTGGACATTTGGGCTTTTGGACTGGTCCTCTGGGAAGTTGCCAGACGAATGATTAGCAACGGTAAGTTGTTTTGTTTTTCCAGTCTCCCGCCATCGATTTCGTCCCATCTCTCCCCGTCCTGGCGCTGTCATTCCCGGAACCGCTGGCTCGGGCTGCTATTTTCAACTAATAAAATGTTTGTTGAGTTATTTAGATCTGAACTGTCACCCAGTTTTAGGATTTGTGTTGCTGTGTTGTTGCAGCGTTTGTCTGGCGAGTCTCCATAGCTGCCCTGTGGGGTGTCCAAAGTTACATCCATAAATACATCTGTTTATGTCAGTTATAAAGAAGGTATATTTTTAAAGTGCAGCCAGACTTGTAGGTAGGCTTAATAATGCAAAGCTTTCACATATTTGCTGTATATTTGTTCCCAAACTACCCTCCATTTTTTTTTTCTCCTGTGTTTTGCTGGTCCGGTCCACTTTTTAAACTTTTTCTGGTACCCACAGGTAAACATTTTACATAGGGGTCTCTTTACCTGATTGCTCTTATTCTGTGCAACCACATGGTAGGGATGGGTGAATCACAAGAGTACAAACACTGCATTACAAATCATTGCATTGGACCTTCATTTGCAGAACGTCTGTAAAGGATTCTACACTATATGGCTAAAAGTAGGGATGCACCGATATCGTTTTTTCTGTATCAAGTACTGATATATATTTTTTTTGGTGCTGTGTGCCCAGATTATCAGGAAGTTCCTGATTGCCTGTGATGACGGTGTTCTAGCAAAATATCACCGGCTTCACTTGCCGAGGCTGTCTTGCTTCCTGACCAATCAGAAGGCCGGGCGGCGAGTCATGAAGTGCTATCCGGCTTCCTGATTGCTAGGCAGCCTGGCTTCCTGACCAATCAGGAAGCCAGGCGGCACTTCATGACTTACCTCTTGGCTTCCTGATTGGCTAGGTAGCCGGGTTCACTTGTTCCTAGGCAGGCTTGCTTCTTGTCCAATCGGGGAGGCGGGTCATTACATGCCACCTGACTTCCTAATTGGTTCGGAAGCCAGGCTGCCTAGCAACAAGTGAAGTTGGCTTCCTAGCCAATCAGGGAGACAGGGCAAAACCCACCACCTGGCTTCCTGATTGGAAAGGAAGCTGGCTCCATGCCGAAGCACTTGCGGTCAGAGGAAAATCTCCCTCCCTCTGACCGGAAGTTCTGGTATCTGAGGATGCATCAGTGCATTTTGGCGAGTAGCAGTACTCTCCCTAATACTCTGCATCAATACTGATACTAGTATCGGTATCGATGCATCCCTAGCTAAAAGTATCTAGAAATCCCTCCACATTATTGAGCTCAAATGTTTCCAGTGCAGAATACTGTTAATACTGCATCTGACATTTTTAGACAATCGTGTGCTTCTAACCTTGTGGCCACAGTTTGCTGAAGGCCATTTTTTTTGTACTAGCATGATGGCACTTCTGTGCACACAATCCAGGCACTGAGTGTGGGATAAGTTTCAGGGGGAGGAACTCGAGCGGCCTGTTTGGTAAACTGCAACACATATTAAGTGGCCAGGTCGTCTCAACCAAAATCAGTACCTGACCTCACAAATGCTGGTTTGGCTGAATGAGTACCAACTCCCAGAGACACATCCCAGAATGTTGTCAAATGTCTTCCCAGAAGAGTGGAGACTGTTGTTGCTGCAAATGGATTTGGCGGGCGCAACTCCAAATTTTGTTTTTGGAATGGGATGTCCAATGAGCATACTGTATATCGCCAACTTTTTATAAGGGATTTAATAGGTAGTAGGTGTGCTGAAAAGCAGTGCACTGGTCATTCACAGTGTTTTTAACAAAAAGTGCCACATTCTCGCTCTTTGGGAGAAAAACATTTTCCGTAAAGTTTTGGACTTCTTGGGGCTACTTTCTTGCTTTTTCAGGGATTCAAACAGTAGCCATTACACAAAATCAGGTGGGTCAGCCACAAAAGCTTCCCCATTCTTTTGACTACGGGAAGTATCTCTCAGGAGAAGAGATTTGCAAGATTGTTCGAAGGTACTGCTGCAGCTTACAAGCAGGGATTGTTAAATGCACACATTGATTTTCTGTAGCTTTTATTCTATCTTTGTTTTCCTGCTTTACGCTTTTGTGGTTGTTCTGGATCTTGGCTGCAGACAATGTAGCACTTTTGGCTTATTTGGCTCCTTCCTTTGTATTCTTCCTCCTGATTTCAGCCGGTACATGCTGTTCTGTCGGTGTTTAATCCTCCCCGCCAGTGCACAGCAATGCCCGCTAGACATCTTGTATGTTTTTGTTACACTTGACTGGTCCTAAATGAAAATGTGGTAAATGCTGGACACTTATACATGGCAATTTTAAAAAGTGATTAACTGTGATTTTTAAATATATCAACAACACTGTAATGAAATACAAAGACATCATGAACTTCTGGAAGACAAAATAATTGGTATAAACTGGGTATTAAAACAATAGGGTAGTTGCCCACTTGAGTCTGTTCAGTTCTGAGCTTTAATTGTCCCCCTGGGAAATAAGGTTGCATCCTTTATATTCTTATATTATTGAATATTATAGGATTCCCTTTAAAGGCAATGTCATTGATAGAATACCCAGACTCGGCTCACTTTTTTTTTGCAGCCTTTTGAGCTTTAGTTCATAATTTGTGCTGTTTTCCAGGCATTGTTGAAGACTACAAACCTCCATTTTATGATGTTGTCCCAAATGATCCCAGCTTTGAAGATATGAGGAAGCTTGTTTGTGTGGATCAACAAAGACCAAACATTCCCAACAGATGGTTCTCAGACCCAGTGAGTATCTTTAAGCATGCTATTACGAGTATCTATAAATTGCAACATAAGACACGGTTAAAGATCCCCTTCATAAGCAGCTGTATGACCGTAATAAGGCCATATCGCTGCTTAAAAAATAAATAAAAAAAAATATATATATATATATCCCTCCATCAGAAGCCCAAAGCATCTGGAGCCCCCTTCTTAATAAACAAAAAATTAAAACCTGGATGGAAGAGCGCAAAGTCTCTTGACTTCCTGTGTTATGGCCTTCTCCTCCACTGTCTCCTGTCTAATGTTTGGTGTCACTGTATATGCTTAGTACCCACAAGGCAAGCTATGTAATCAGCGATCAAAACATGCCCGGCGGAAGAAGATAAGCAGTTGAATGACAATAATTCACCTGCACGCTCCTGACTGAGATAGCTAGAGAGAATAAGTATTTTAAGTATTTCATATTCTATGTCTTAGCTATGTTCTATGGCTGGTTGACCATTGGTCAGCCTCAAAAAGGACTTCTGATGGTTAGTGGGAGGATAGTAACAGCACCTTCCTTTGCTTAAAAGTGGCTGCTGTTATCCCATGAGAAGTATTAGCTGCTTTCTTGGCTGGTTGACCATTGTCACCCTTTGTTGGCTGCCTCAAAAAGGACTTCTCTTTGCTGCTTCTCCCTCTCACATTTTGAGCTCTGTCGTACAGGGACTGCAGGATGCTGAAACAGTCTATTTCAGTTACTTACACTTGCATCGCATTCAGGTAATTGCATTACATTCTGGTACTTGCACTTACATTGCATTCAGGTACTTACACTTGCATTGCATTCCGGTACTTGCATTGCATTCCGGTACTTGCATTGCATTCCGGTACTTGCATTGCATTCAGGTACTTGCACTTGCATCGCATTCAGGTACTTGCACTTGCATCGCATTCAGGTACTTGCAATTACATTTGCATTAAACATGCATTAAATGATGTATTAATAAATATATTGCTTCATGGAGTTCAGCTTTAAACATTGGTGGTATTGTCTTTTGTATAGACTTCCTGTGAGCATTTTTTTTTTTTAATTCTGCATTGTAGACTATATTCTCACTGCTGCAGATCAGCACCAGCATTATATGCCACTATGTAATGTGTATATATGTATTTAAAGCTCAAATACATTGTTTCTTCTTTTGCAGACGCTAACATCACTTGCTAAGCTGATGAAGGAATGCTGGTATCAAAACCCCTCCGCGAGACTCACAGCCTTGCGCATCAAAAAGACTTTAACCAAAATTGACAATTCCTTAGATAAACTGAAATCAGACTGCTGATCCGCTGGCATTGCCGCCTTATCCGTGCGTCAATTGTACGGGGAGGAAAAAAAAAAGGTTAAAAATACAGTGCTTGCCTGCCAAGGTGTACACTTTGTTTTTCAGTTCTTTTCATGTGCGACTTTTAAACACATCCCCGCCTGTTAAGGAGACAATCCCGCTACAGAACACTGAAACCTCGACGAGTTACTTTAGTGCACATTTGGCACAGTTCTGCCTTCTAAGCAGCAGCTGCGACAGCTGGATGATTGCAAGGATCCGGATCTGAAGGGGGCAACGTAGAAATTTCAGTACCGATCTGGGCATTAAAAGGTGAATTAAGAGGGCAAAAAAATTTGTGATCGCTTCTCGGCCACTTCTAAGGAAATCCCGCGGATCTTATCGGATTTTACCTAGCAATATTTTGTGTGCTTCTGTTTGATTGCACTACAGATTCCTCGCATTCCTTACTTGCACTGTAACGGTTTCTTTTTAAACGACAGATGCCAAATATATGACTGGCCGTGTACAGATCGATGTTGCGAATTATAATCATCCAGTTTTTTGGGAATGATGTAAAGAATAAGAAAAAACAAAAGCCTAATACAAGAGTTGTCAGCACTGGCTGCCTCTTACGTGTACTGATGTTTACAATAATGCTGAACATAAGAATTTTTTTTTTTTGACTGTATGAAAATATCAAAATTTATTTATTACTATTGCACTTAAAAGTTTCCAGAAAAAACTGAACAGTGCAAAAGGTTATCGCTACATTTTGTGGTTTTTTTTTTCCTTTTTATTTGGTTTTACACTTAATTTTTGTAACACATTTATGATGAGGAATATACTTTTTCTGTACGATCACTTTGCATCAAGTCACATTCTTCTTTCTCCATATTAAGAAGTTGTGTGGACTATATCCATTGACGTTTAGGATTCTAAACCTTCTCGAGTGTCACGCACCCCTTTTTCCAGCTTGCCTTTTATTGACATAGGAAACAATGACAAGATGTATAAGGTCTCATGGAGGGATTCTGGGTACTCTAAAATATAAAGGGAGGGTGGGGGAGAGAGATGCCTTTCTTCTAAGCTATGTCATTTGTTGCGTTGTAAACTTTGCCAGAAAATAACTATTTTGTTTTAATCTACTTTTTGTATTTAGTAGTTATTTGTATAAATTAAATAGAATGTTTTGAAGTCTAAAAGAGTTGTTTTTATTTGCTACAAGGACAAATAGCGGCAGTAATTAGAATGTGAAGTGTATCCAGTAACAAGGAAAGGAAGTAAGGCGCTCTGCCAGCTTTTTGTTTTTTTAATGCTTTCTGTCTCCACTATGGAAAGTTCCTCTTGCTTCTTGTTGGGTCCCTGGGACAGGAGGTGATGGGAACTCTCACTGATGGGGGGGGCACATTTTTAATGGAGTGGAAAAGGGTTAGAACTAGGGATGCACCGATACCCGTTTTTCGATATCGCGTACCGATATTTTTTTTTGCCCCGGTACTCGCCGATACCAAGTACTGGTGCCGTGTGCCCCGATTATCAGGAAGTTGGACGGCGCCATGCGGCTTCCTGATCATCAGATACTAGCAGCGAGGATCTTGTCTCAGCTGTGGGCTATCTATGGAGCCAGCCAGTAGATGGGGTTAGAGAGTCATCTCTTTCTTTGAGAAAAAATCATGCAGGTGAGAAAGCCATATCTCGGTTAGCGGTTAGTATACTGTATTACCGCTATAGCTTCTAGTTATATCTGATGGATCACTTTTTTAGTTTCTTGTCTTGAAAATAAAGAGTAATTGGTAAATTAATGAAAAAGCCTCTCTTTCAGGCGAATATTTATCACATTTTCATATAATTAGAACAAAGTAATCCTTTAAGCATTAGCTCAGTAGAAAAAGAAGGGAGGAACAGATTGAAAGCTATGTATAACTCACGATCTTCCCGAGTTGGTAGCCAAAGGAGCCGGTTTTAGATGCTGCAGCTGAACCCCATTTGATCCTGTTTTAGCGTAAGGATTTTTCCATCCAGTATAGTTTTTGGTCCCCGAGGGTTGTGCTGTAGGTACTAACCGGTTTTCCCCTTAATTATGGTATCAGAGGCAAGAGGAGTTTGGCGGGTCATGTTATATCATCAGTTTAGGAGGACATGCCGCTGTAGAGAAATATCTGTATAGTCCTCGGTGATTCAGGGTCTTCCACACAGACACAGAACGTCGATGCGCTTCGCCCCTCCTACTGGGGCTTCGTCAGGACTTTGCCAGAAAATAACTATTTTGTTCTACTTTTTGTATTTAGCAGTTATTTGTATAAATTAAAAAGAATGTTTTGAAGTCTAAAAGAGTTTTTTTATTTGCTACAAGGACAAATACCAACAGTAATTAGAATGTGAAGTGTATATCCAGTAACAAGGAAAGGAAGTAAGGCGCTCTGCCAGCTTTTTGTTTTTTTAATGCTTTCTGTCTCCACTATGGAAAGTTCCTCTTGCTTCTTGTTGGGTCCCTGGGACAGGAGGTGATGGGAACTCTCACTGATGGGGGGGGCACATTTTTAATGGAGTGGAAAAGGGTTAGAACTAGGGATGCACCGATACTCGTTTGTCGATATCGCATACCGATATTTTTTTTTTTTCCCGGTACTCGCCGATACCAAGTACTGGTGCTGTGTGCCCTGATTATCAGGAAGTCGGACAGCGCCATGCGGCTTCCTGATTGGTCAGGAAGCCAGGCTGCCTAGCAACAAGTGAAGCTGGCTTCCTAGCCAATCGGGAATGCCAGGCGGCACGTCATGACCCGGCCTGATTGGCTAAGAAGCCGTCTTCACTTGTTGCTTGGCAGTGTGGCTTCCTGACCAATTAGGAAGCCGGGAGGCGAGTCCTAACATGCTGCCCGGCATCCTGATTGGTTAGGAAGCCAGGCTACCTACCAACAAGTGAAGCTGGCTTCCTAGCCAATCGGGAAACCGGGCGGCACGTTTTGACTCGCTTCTCGGCTTCCTGATTGTCTAGGAAGCCGACTTTACTTCTTAAGCAGCCTAGCTTCCTGAGCAATCGGGAAGCCGGGAGGTGGGTCATTACGTGCCGCCCGTTTCCTGATTGTCTAGGAAGCCGGCTTCACTTGTTGCTAGGCTGTCACCTTGCTCATTCTTTAATGTCACATTGGGGATTGAGACGTTTAACATCGCCAAACTAGAGCTGCTCAAAGCTGTCAGAAGCTCTGCTAATGCCATGTACATGCTTGCCATACACATTGCTCATAAGACTTGCTTAAACTGACGTCTATAAACAAAGCCTAGGGGCCTCTAGCAGCCTTGCAGTAGGGTTTTGTACAGGCGTATTCTATCGAAATCAATTAGGAAGAATGTCAACCTATAGTGTGACCTATTAAAGGACATGGGAGGAGAGTTTGTTGACCCCTAAACTATACTGCGAAGACCACAAGCCTACTGTCACCAAAATTATGAGGATCCAACCCACTGGCACCAACTCAAAAAAAAATGGGTTTTGATTAAGCACTCCATAATTATGTTCATAGACTTATTAAAACATTTGTCAGTGTTCCAGACCACTACATTTTACGTACATTATGCAGTCCCCCTGGTTTGGATAGAAATGTTTCTTTAAAAGTATATGCTCTGGTCCATTCCACACAGAGCAGGTAAACACACCCTAGTGTTACATAGGCACCCTTTTAGTCAGCCTTGGGTTCGTTAATTGTAACCCTTTCCAGTTGCAGATAAACTAGATGGTGAAGGTTTTCGGACGCCTAAAGATCAGACCTGTGTTAGGTGGTTTGACAGCCCATAGCAAAACCATGGTTGTTAATACGGACTCGGCCCCTTTTATGTGGCTATAACCAGCCTCTACTGTGTCTGTGGGGAATTTGTGCCTTTTTTAGTCAAAGAAGCATTTGTGAGGTCAGGTACTGATATTTTTTATAAAGACCAGACAAGCAATCATCCCAAAGGTGTTCAGTAGGTCGGAGCTCTGAGCAGTCCACTCAGGTTTCTCCAAACCAAGCTACTCAAACACAGTCATGCTGGAGCAGAAAAGGGCCTTCCCCAAAATGTTGCCACAAGGTTGGATTGTCACAATTGTCTAAAATGTATTTTTTATGCTGTAGATGTTACGGTACCCTTCTCTGGAAAACGCCCAGACTTATTTAAGAGTAAGAGGCCATATAGTGGTAGGTTTGATGGACGTGTGGCACCAAACTTTAGCCATATAGTCTACCTCCCTTTTGGATTCCCCACTGCAAGTGAAGCAAGAAATCCCTGTGCTCTAAGCCGTGGCATGGAGCTTACACAGTTTTCCAGAATCCTGCCACGTTCCTTAACGGGTATCCCTTATCCATTTCAAGCCTGATGAAGGGACCCTGTGAGGCCCCGAAACGTGGCCATTTGTTTTGACATGAAGCGTCAATAAACAGACATGTTCTTCACTTAAATATGGTGTGCTGGTGACATCTTTAACATGGAGCTTACACAGGGCACCACTCTCGTGCAACTAATCTGGGAGCTAGAAAACACATTCTTAAAAAAAAATAAAAATAATGCTGATCATTCAAGAAACTCTGCTGTTACACAAATGTTTTGATCCCACTGGCATGCATAACAAATGGGGTAGAAAATGAACGGGCCATCTAAATATCTAAAATTAAAGCCTAAGTTTAAATCCTCTGTCAGTAAACGCATATGTTTTCTGACTGTTTAAGGCATCTATGGAACCACTGGTTTATAGGTTGGGCTGCTTCTTTCAAAGTTTACATTGGTTTGTCCATCACTGATAATTACATCTAAATTGGGGGAGGGGGGGGACATGTGACAGGGTGGCTTGTTGCTCTGTCATAGTGTTCCCCCTCTACCCCCCTTTGGCAGACGCCTCTCCCACTTTCTCTCTGTTCCCCTCTGCTGTGTGTGCAGTATGTGTCTGCTTGGCTTCTCTATCCCCTTAATAGATTCTATGGAGGTCACTAACTCAGGGGTATACATGGCTCTCATGCTGGGTGGTGTGTTTAGCGATTCTCCTGCTCGCTGTTAGAGCTTTGCCCTGCTGTGTTTGGATGGACACTGTTCCATTCAGCCACCCTGATGGGTTCAACTTCAGCTACGTGAGGCGGCTCTGGATGCCTCGACAGCTCCGGCTTGATGTGGCCATTCCGCAGCTCCTGGCAGCCACTCTGGGAGCCCCGGCCCTTTGTACAACATAGTTTGGCTACTGTGGCTGCGGCCATGCTGTAGTCTCTGGTGGCTGGGGCCCCGTTGCTTCACATGAATTTGTGAACCCACTCTGTCAACCGTGTGCACAAGCTCTGAGGGTCCTGGGGGCCAACTTTGGTTTGGGCTGGCACAGGATATTGATGGTCATCAACACCGATTCCTGGTGTGAGGATGCAGAGGCTGGGCATAGTATCTTGTATGGTCTGCAGCCATTCCCAGGTTCTTTCTGTCTGTCCCCCTTTCCTGCAGTGTGGTAAGGCCTATTTAGGAGCCAGTTCTACCCCTGTGGTGGCAGCTGTCTCCCCCCTTTTGGTACTGACTTGTGGGCATGTTGTTTAGCAGAGGGGCTGACCATCTCACCCCTGTACTTTTCTGGATTTTTAGAAAT